AAGTGATGAGAAGGGGTAAGGTCGGTAAAGAGAGATGAGGACACGGGACGGGATGCATTACCAAAAGGAGCTGAGTTCAAAAGAGCTGGGTTTATAAGAAAAGAAAACTACCTGAGGGAGTGAAGAGTCAACAAGACTTCCTCTCAGGGTTAATTAATTCTTGTCATCCTGGGGCTGCACACACCTTTCAGGGCCCAGAGAGCTGTCAGGGCAAATAGGGCATGCATGCACAGGGTTAGCTCAAACACAACGCTCTCTCCACTGCACCAAAGAGGAGAAGTGTAGGGGCAGAGAGGGTGTAGAAAATGGAAAACTGTTTTGAGGGAAGGAGGGAGACTGGCTAGAGTTGAGGAGGAGGATGGGACCGAACAATGAATGGTCTTCACAACTCAGGAGTCTCTCTGTCCCCACTGAGCCCAGCAAAGCAGAACAGCAGTTAGATATAAAGAAGTCAGTGACAGCCATCTAAGACACTAGGACAGGGGAGTGTGTGGTTCCTGTGTGGGTGGGGAAGAGGCAAGGAGGCTGAAGGAGAGATGCCCTTCCTCTAGCGCAATTCCCCTTCTCTTTCACATGAGGGAACTGAGGTGCAGAGAGGGAAGTGATTTGCCCAAGGTCCCACTGAAAGTTAACCACATAGCCACTCTTTTTTCTTTCTTTCTTTTTTTTATTTTTTTTGGAGGCAGTGACTTGCCCTGGGTCACACAGCTAGGGTCAGATTTGAATTCAGGTCCTCCTGACTCTGGAGCTGGTACTCTACCCACTGCACCACCTCACCGTCCTCACACAAAGCGACTCTTCACTTCTGACCTTGTGGTTTTTCTTACACCATCACAATGCATGGTGTTTTTCCTTAGGGACCTTCCAGTCCAGGGGTTGGAAACCAGAACTTCAAGCCATTAAATCTATATTCGGGGCCCTTGTAGCTAACCACCCCGATAGTCTGCCTATGCTGTTGGCTCATTAACATGCAAACACTGACATCAGTGACTGGGGAATAAGGCTCAGGCCTAAAGCTTAAGTGGCCCAGGGCCCAACTACAGTCCCAGACTCAGAGCCCTGACTGGGGCCCTCTCTCCTTCCTTAATCTTTGCTATAGTCAGCGAAATCATAAGGAAACGGAAATGGGCATAAATCTGAAAAACATACAAGGGACCCCCCCACCCCACCCCAAACAGGTACTTTTTAAAATTCATATCATATGATTCTGAGCTGGAAGGTAATTTAAAGAGGATCCTATCCAACTTCTAAGGCCCAGAGAGGAGGAACGATCTGCCCAAGGTCACATCGTTAGTAAGTAGAAGAGCAAGGATTCAAACTCAGGTTTTCTAACTATGAATGGGTGTTTTTCAATCGTCACCACACTCAGCCACCTCACAAAAAACAATCTGATCATCAGTCATCCTTCCCAGAAACCATCTTTGGCAATAAAAGACTAGGCAAGCTGATTGGCAACCCTAGTGTTCATCCTTAATCAGCAGCATCCTGGCATAGACTCACTGGTGGTCATACTTTCCCCCTCCTCCTCCTCTCATCCTCCTCCTCTCCCTCTTCCCCCTTCCCTTCCTTCCATTCCTCTTCCTCCTCTGCCCTCAGCTCCCTCAGGTCCCACACAATCCCAAGCTCCTGCTCTCTTCCTAGGGGTACAATTAGCTAATCAGATAAACTTCTTGGTGCATCATAGAAAAAGATTGGGTAGGAGCTGAGCTCCTCAGAGCCCTCACTCTAGTTCCTAGACACACCACACGGTTGCATTATAAGTGCTTTCTAGAAACAAAACGTAATTATTATTTTGACTTCCTATCATATTGTATTAACTTAGAGGATTATAAGAGATCAGAATTAGGAGGGAGTTGGGACCACATAATGTCACAGCTAAAGGGACCTTAGCATATAGACCACAGCAAAGGACCTCTAAAAACAGAACATCAGGACTGTAAGGGACCATAGAACATAGAATACCGAATGCCAAAGCAGGAAAGGGCTTTAGAGGTCATCTAGTCTAACCCCCGTATTCTACAGTTGAGGAAATTGAGGCCGTAAAAGAGGAGATGACTGGCCCAAGGTCACACAGTAAGTTTGGTTAGTTAAGTTAATTGAATTAGCTAAGTTAATTAGACCAGGATATCAGGTCTTCTAATTTAGAGATGATCTTATCCAACTTCTAAGGCCCAGAGAGGAGGAATGACCTGCCCAAGGTCACATTGCTAGTAAGTAAAAGAGCAATGATTCAAACTCAGGTTTTCTAACTATGAATGGGTGTTTTTCAGTCATACGCATATAGATTGAAAGAGAAAGGTCATATTAACCTTCTTACATATACTTATGGTATTAAAAGTATACACACATGTCTATATGTATGGATATATATAAAACATATATAACTGCTGTTTCAAAAATTCTATTCCAGAATGATATTTTTCAAAAGCATTTCTTCTTTAAAAGGCTTTCCTGATCTGACCTCTGCTTATCCAATTAAAGAGTAAATTTTCTCCCTCACAGACACATTCATGTAAGTAGGCACTAGAAACTTGACAGCCTCCCATCTAGCTGGGCTACTCTGAATGCTGAGATCTCTAAGCCCTTATTGATCTCTGACCTCACTCCTCAAGGTGGGCTCGAAGAAGGTGAATTAATGGACCAGCATTCAGCATTTCAGTGACGGAGCCAAGATGGGCACCCAAGACCCTCAGATTCCCCCATTGGATTCCAGCCCTCAGCACTAGACAGAGTGCTCCTACAGAGCAGAAGGATGGGGGGCAAGGAGGGGGCTCTTCACAGTACAGCCCCATATGGCAACTCTGTCTAGAACCATCTTTCTCTTTTATCCCCAAGGCAACTGCATAGACTCCAATGACAGCAGACGAGGGCTCTTAGAACAAAACATCAGAGCTGGAAAAGACTTTTAGAAAAGTCATCTAATCTAACTCCTTCATTCTACAGATGAGGAAACTGAGGCTGAGAGAGGGGAATGATTGGCCCAAGGTCACTGAGTAAGTCACCAGCACCCTTTCTGGACAAAGGCCACATTGCTTGGATAGAAACTGGAAGTGTGTGTGTGTGTGTGTGTGTGTGTGTGTGTGTGTGTGTGTGTGTAAGGGGGAGGAGTTCTTCTAAAACTGCTTCTGGGTATTGATGCCTTTACCCCAATCCCTGAGAAAGGTTTCATCATCTTGCTTAATAGGGGTGTGTGTGTGTGTGTGTGTGTGTGTGTGTGTAATCGCAGACCAGTCTAGGACCCATTCTGTGTCGGGAAAGAGGCACCTCTGGGTGTCCAAGACGACACTGCTGATAGACAGAACTTGTCCAAAGCCTTGGCACGGTGTGTGATGTGGCCCAAGTTCCTGATTCTCTCTGTGCCTCAAATCTGCCAAAAAGAAGGAACCTATTGCCATCCACTTCACGTAGGGGTACAGGATTTGGAGTGAGTTTGAACATGAATACCTCTGAGCTTTTCAGAAGGTTTAGGCCTGGCTGTTGTTCACAGCCCACAGGGAGGCCAGTCCTTATCCTATAAACACATGTCTCCCCCCAGGGGCCCTGATGCCACTACGCACCAAACCCTTCATGCTCTTATCTTAGCTCCTATCTTAGCTTGGTTTGATTTTTAACGTGTACCTTATGGACTAGAATCCTACCCCTACAATTGCTGTGTGACTCAAGGAGAGCTCCTGCCTTTTTCTGGGCCTCCCAGTTCTACACACCCATCCCTACCCCGCTCCACCCCCATCCAGAAAGTAGATCCTTCAAAGAAGCGGAGGAAAGAGAACTCTAAGAATTATAGAACCTGCCTGGCCCCCTCCCCTCTCTGCTTGCTGGGGAAGGAAGAAAGAGTTGGGCTGACTCACCCTGGCGTGTATGAGAAATGGAGGGCAAGAGTAGCCAAAAGGCACCCAACAGCACACAGCTCAGCAGCAGCAAAGCGACTGAATCCCACCGAGGAAACATGGCCCAATCCCACCCCCAGAGCAGCAGGGGGTTGGGCATGAAAGGAGAATTAGGGGAACTTCCCCAACCCTGAACTCCACCCCCACTCTCACCTCCTTCCCACCCCACCATTGAGAAACCACAGAGGGAGAAAGAGCCACCCCAGGAAACCCAAACAGCTCCCCAGCAGCTGGGCACTGAGACAAAGGTGGGGGAGAGTTTAACCCTGTGGGGAGAGGCAGAGTGGGCACTGGAAAAAAGCATGGGACTTAGGGACTCAAGACAGACCTGGGTTTGAATCCCACCTCTGACTCAATGCTACCTGTGCAACACTGGGCAAGTCATTTCATTTTTCAGGCTTCAGCCTCCTCAACTATAAAATATAGACAATACCTTTGCTACTTATATCTAATACCTATCTGTTAGAATTAAATGGGACTATAGGAATTTGTTTGAGTACATTAAAATGATATATAGTTAATGGTGGGCAGCTAGGTGGCACCGTATTGCACAGAGGGCTAGCCCTGGAGTCAGGAAGACCCAAGTTCAAATGCAGCCTCAAATACTTACTAGCTGTGTGACCCTGGGCAAGTCACTTAACCTCAGTTTCCTCATCTATTAAATAAGCTGGAGAAGGAAGGAGCAAACCACTTCAGTATCTTTGCTAAGAAAACCCAAATGGGGTCACGAAGAGTCTGATATGTACAACAACAAAAAACATAGTTGATGGAGATGATGATGATGATGATGATGAAGTTGCATGGATAGAGAGAGTTGACTTCAGAGTCAGGATGACCTGCCCCTGATACATACTAGCTGTGTGACCCTGGACAATTCACTTAATCCCCCCAGCCCGCCCCAACCAATTCCCTAAAACACTGAAGAGCAAGTGTCATCACCTTTGGTAATAGAGACTCCTCATGGAAATTCTCTGTACCAATAAAATCATAGGGCCAATCCCTGCCCCCATATCATCATTATTATTATTATGGAATCAAAGATGGGGGTTCTGGTAGGTGCCCTGACAGGGAGTAAAAGAAAGGATGGGTAGGCTGGAAAACCATGGGACTTACTGGTCATCTCCGACTCTCTTCACCCATGCCATATCCCGCTCTGACTGGTTGGAAGCCAAATCCTAAAAGACAGCAGAGGTTGAAAAGTGAGAGACCCTAGAGCAGAGTGGGAGAACAATTTATACAAAATTAACCACATTGCAAAAGCAAATAACTTTGAAAAACTTAAGACTCCTCCAATCAATGCAATGACCAAGCAATTCCAAAGGGCTCATGGTAAAACATCCTGCCCGCCTCCTCACAGAGAGGTGCTGGACTCAGGGTACATATTGAGACATACTTTTTTTGGGACATGGCCAATGTGGAAATTTCTTTTGCTAGAGTATGCATAATTATTACACAGGTTTTACTTTTCTTTCTTTTTCAATAGGGGATGGGATAGGGTAGGGGAGATGGGAGAAAGAAAAGATGAACTTTTCATTAATTGAAATATAAATTAAATTAAAAGTAAACCAAAAAAAGCGAGACCTCAGGACCAAATTCCACATCAGATCGTATCTCTGGGACACCCCACTGCCTACCAAACTTCCTCTGGTGATGGGCGTGACTGATGTAGGTGAAGGGCAGCTCTCCCTAGGTACTTCCAGGTGGCTTCCAAAGGCCCTGCCCATCTTCCCTTCCCTCAACCTCCCCAGACCCTGGTAGCTTCATCTTGGATCCACTTCCCCCAGACCTGGATCCCAAGAAGCTGGAAAAGAGGATTTGGATGCAGGGCGAGATGAGGTGCAGGAGGCATACCTGAGCCCTGCTCTCCTGCAGCTGCTTCAGCTCTCCCTGTAACCGCTCACACTCAGCCTGGAGCTGCTCTTCCCGGAGCTGGGCCCCCCTTGCCTCCCCTCTAGCTGCTTCCAAAGCCTCTTCCAGCTGCCTCCTCTCCAGTTCCCCAACGCTGGGTGGGCTGGGCCAGCCTAGGGAAGGCTCCAGCACTTTAGGAGGCAGCAGGAGTCAAGAAAGAGAGCAGAAAGAGGAAGGGGGACGGCAGATTCAAGGTCAGTGGTGGCCGAACCCTAGGGTTGCTTGCCCCCACCCCTCTCCCCCTTCACCAGCCTCTGTGATAAGACATAAAGGGCAATAGGAGAGCTCTTCCTCTGGCTGGATCTGTAGCCCAAGGCAGCCAAGTCACACCACAAGAAGGGTAGCTAAGGAGGGTGCAAGGGGCTGGGACAGGTTAGGCAGCCTCTTTCCACAGTTTGCTAAATGACCTCGCCAAGGTCCTGTATAACAGAATTTTCTGATTCTCAACCAGATCTTCACCTTCTGCTCTCCAGCCCAAGCAACCAAAGGGCTGACGTTACTGAGTCTAGGTGGGTAGTGCCCTCTGCTGGTCATCTTAGACATTACATGCTTGGGGCTCCTTAGTTTGGCCATAGAAAGAGCTAGAGAGAATTCCTGGTGGACAGGAGAATATGTCTATGTGGTGGAGAAAGGGGTATCATGGGATCAGCGTGAGGTGCAGCCCTCAGGGGGATCTCACCATGGCCGAGGCCAGGCCCTCCTCGTAGTGCCAGGTAGTGGAGGTCAAGGTCAGGGTCGGCGGGAGCAGGAGCCGGAGGGCTCAGGCTGGGGAAGGTGCTGTCCCCCCCTCCCTGCTGCTGGCGAAGCTGCTGCTGCAGCCCACAGATCTGCCTCAGGTGTGTCTCCACCAAAGCCCGCTGGAGGGGAGAGGCAGGAGGGAGGGAAGTGGGGGGGAGTTCAGTTCTGAACCTGAGTTCCCTCATTCCCTCCCCCAGGGCTTCACTGGATTCACATCCCTAGCAGGGATCCCAGGAACACGGGAGCCACTTGCCTCCCAGCCTCCCAGTTCTGAACAAGCTCTTCGAGTAGCCAACCAGCCTGACTCCACAGCATGCTCTCTTCCCCCTTCCCCCGAAGCATAAGTGACACCACCCCATCCCCAGAACACACTGAGGCAAAGTACATCAGGACACACAAACACCCACACTGAGATGCACGGCCAGCTGGCATCACAGCCACAGAAACCCCCACCCAGCCACCTACCCATATACACACAGAAAGGAATACACAGACCCAGAGTCACCCCGCCAAACACACACACCCCGGCCTCACCATCTCCCCCAATTCGTTTTCCAGGTCATTTTTCTCTACGCACAGCTTCTCATATGCTTGTATCATCTCTCCCAGTTGATCTTCCTGCTCCTTGCTCTTCTGGAGCTGATCAGGAACCGTGGTGAGGGGGAGACGGGGCGGGGGGGGGGGGGAGGGAGAGGAACAGGGAACAGCAGGGTCAGAGGCAGACAGAAACATCATTTACATTGTTTTTAGCTTCTTAAGATTTACAACGGGACTTCCTCACTAGGAAACACAGAAAGCATGGGAAGTAATGCTACTATTACCATCTCCCTTTGTCCAGACGAGGAAACTGAGGCTCAGCGATTGCACTTGCTTCACACAGCTAGTAATAGTGTAATTCAGGCAGTGCTATACCTAGGGATTGTTTTACCTTCAGTAAAGAAATGGGGAAGGGGGTCCATAGTTATGGGATTTAGGGTGGGGGAGGCCTATTTGCTCAGTCCTAGTTACAGCTAATAGCCCTAATTCCAACACCACAGCACTGGTTGAGGGTTTCTCAAGATCTATTTTGTCATTTATTGCCCATCCTTCCCAGCCCTAAGCACCTTGCAAAGGGGTAGGGGCATATGCAGCTGACTTTAGGCTTTGGGAAGGACCCGGGGGCATAATGCAGAAAGGGGGATTGAGAAAGAACCACGCAGACAGTGGTCCCCGGGGAAATGGGGCTCACCTCATGCTGGAACTGATTGAGTGTCTGCTGTAGACTGGACTTCTCCACCTCCAGCAGGGAGCCCTCTTTAATTTCATACAAGGAGAAGTTGTGTTCATCTCCAAAGTCGCCAATCACTGGGTACTGCAGAAGGCAGGAGGGAGGGTTCTCAAAAGAGACAGTTTCCTGGGCACACTACCCATGCCCTACACTGTCTTCCAGACCTCTGACCCATTGGTACCATCCCTGAGGGTCACCTCTCCTCGTTCTTCCAAAATGCCACAGCAGATCCCTTCTCTAGATTCCTAACTAAGCTACTCCCAAATCCCTCTCCTGCCTCTGGCATGCATCCTTCACTGAACACCATTCTTGGGTGTCTCTCAGGTGGTCCTGGCTTGATCCTTCTACCAGATTTCCCAACTCCACCACTAGCAGAACCCACCAAGAGGTATCCCCAGTGAAGATCTATGAACCAGATCTTTGTATTTTGGAGCCTAAACCTACCACTGAATGTCCTAAGGGACAGATCATTGATAACCCTTCTGGAGGATCAAATGATCTGCTGATCTCTCCACACTATCCCATGAATAAAACACAATATTAGATCCCTCCTGGGAGACCCCTGAAAACCAATGGGACCAATAATCTGATTCCTCCACCAGGGCCCTTAACAAGATCCCTCCCTGAAACAGTGGGGATGGAGGGAGGCCTGGATGGCCCCTGACCTTGATCTCATACACCTTGAGTCGGCGCCGTAGGGTGGCATTCTCCCGCTCCAGCCCCCCCCAGCCGCTCCTTGATGTCCCCGTAGGCTGTGATGAGTGCGAAGTGGGAGGCAGAGCACATGTCACTGCCCAGCACAGGGTCCCCCGGCCCATCCAGCCACACCTCGCCGGACCCCAGCGCCTCCTGGGTCAAGATGCTGATGTCGTCCTCAAACATGGATTCCATGGCACTCAGGTGAGGGGCAGGGGCCCTGGTGGAGCCACCTGGGGGGGGGTTGGGGGGGGAAGGGGGAGCCAAGGTCTGCCAAGGGCGCCCAATACCAAAACCTCCCCCAGCCCAAGTGGGAATGTGGGTGGGTGTGTCTCTACCACATGGCTCATCCACATTCTTTGTGTCTCTGAGGTTAAATCCTTTTGGGACATGAGGACAGGGGACTTCTCAGTTTCACTATGAAGGAGAGGGACCCCAGGCCAGAGGGAGAGCAAAGTCTAGATAAGTTCCAGCTAGATTGTGGGTGACTTCAGGTCTAAAGACCCCCAACCCTAAAGACCTCATTCCTCCTTTTTTGGTAGCCCCTAGTGGGTTGGAGTGGAGGGGGAGGTAGGGAATCATTCTGTCCAACCCCCATAACTCCAAGGAAGCTAAAGCCAATCCTGCTCATTATGTACTACACTCCCATCCCCACTCCCAGGGCTACTAAAACCACCTCCCTTAAAGTCACCAGGGATCTCAGGCTTGTCTCCCTTCCTGATGAGGAATAAGGAAACTGATGGCCATAGCAGGAAGAGGTTCAGGAATCCCAGCCCTCAGATCCTACTAGAGACCAATGATGCCAACGGGTCCTGGTACCTCCACCTTACTTGACCCAGTTCCCTTCTCATAGTTGCCCAACAAGTCTCAAATACCTTGCAGCCATGCTCCTGATCCCAAGTTCGTCCTGCCCCCAGGACTCTTTCTCAAAGGATCAACAAGGGCCTCCTGGAGAATCAGATCTCCTAAACTCCCAGCATCATATCCTCTCCAGCCTGTCCCTCCACCCTATTTCCTCCCAGAGGATTCCAGAGTTCAGGAAAAGGAAACACCCTCCCATCCCCCCACTCCACTCTCTCTAAGCCCTCATTGGAAGCCTGGATGTAGTCATTACTCATGTTCTGCCTATGTCTAGGGCCCAGGGAGAGGAAGGCCAGAAGCTCCCGTGTCAGAGATGAGGCTCAGAGATGGAGATTCATTGTCAGGGATGGTGAAGGCTCAGTGTCAGTGATGGAGGACTTGGTGGTGAGAATAGAGGGCTCAGTGTCTGGAATGAGAAGCCTTGTGTTAACAGTGAGGGAGTTCAGTAACAGAGACAGAGAAGGCTCATTTGTAAGGGGGCTCAGTTTCAGTAACAGGGGATTCAGGGTTGGGTATCAGGGATGGGAAGGCTAGGTTTCAAGGATGAGGGTATATATCAGGGATGGGGGAGGGGAGGAGTTTCAGTACTGGGTGAAGGAAATCCATTGTAAGGATCAGGAGGTGGGAGGGACTCCATGTCAGTCAGGGATGGGAAAGTTCAGTGTCAAGGATGTGGGAATACATCAGGGATGGAGGATTCAGTATTGGATATAGGAAGCCCAGTGTCAGGAGCCAGGGTTGAGGGAATTCAGTATCAGACAGTTATGGGGTTGGCACTCAGTGTCAAGGTTGGGAGATTTGGTGTTGATGATTGTGGCCCAATGTCAGGGAGGGGCTCATGTCAGAGATGGGGACTTGAACGATAGGGACTGAAGGCTGTGTCAGGGAAAGATTAGGAAGTTTGGTGTCAGGGTTAGAGGCTCAGTGTAATAAATAAGGGATTTCAGTGTCAGATACAGAAACTCAGCATTAGGGCTGGAGGTTCAGCCTGAAGGGTGATCCTCAGATTTTAGGGAAGGTCTCAGGGTCAGAAGTGAAGGTTTAGTGTTAGTGACGAAGGCCTGGCTTAGATGTGATGGAGCCTTAGTTACTGACTTACCTTCTCTACAAGGGAAACAGGGGACATGAGGAGTGGATTGTGATTTAGGGTTCCTTAAAGAGTAGGTTGGTGTGTGTGTGTGTGTGTGTGACGAGAGAGAGAGAGAGAGAGAGAGAGAGAGAGAGAGAGAGAGAGAGAGAGAGAGAATTCTTTGGGGACCTGTTTATGAATGTGGGTATCTGTGTGATTTTGAGTGTGTGTAGGGGGGAAGTATTGTGTATCTCTGAATGAGTGTGGGTGTCACAGAGCTGGTACCTCAATGAGAGGGTTTGCCTTCGGGGCGCTGGTAGAAAGGGATTAAAATGAGAGTGCTTAAAGCCGTGAGTATATTGTTCTGTGGTGTCCGTGTGGATGTGAGAACCAGGTAGGTTTGTGGCACGTAAGGCACGTAAGGGAATGTCAGAGGGGTGTGTGTGTGTGTGTGTGTGTGTGTGTCCTGGAGCCAAAGCTCTGTGTGTGTTGGCAGAGTATGAGGATTGTGGGAAGAAAGGAAGGAAGGAAGGGGGTGTTAGCTTCCAAAGCAGGCAGCAGAGGTTAGGACCCAGGACCCCGAATCTCTACCCACAAGCAGCCTTGGTTTATGTGTCAGGGAAACGTGCGTGACAGTTGTGTGTATGTCTAGCGGGTGGGTGTGTTTGTGTGTCTGGCCCCACCTTTAACCCTTTCCTCCCCCCAATTCTGCTCTTCACACTCCTGGCCCACTCCACGCCACCCTGGTCCCCCGGGGAGAGGAAGAGGCCAAGGCCCCTGTGCGCAGCCCCAGCCCCTCTAAGCCGGTTCCCTCGGCCGGCCTTGGCCCGTCCCACGACAGGGGTCCCTGCAGCCTGCTAGACTGGCAGGCCTTTCGGCCGGACGGCTGGCGGGCCAAAGGTTCGCTCCCTCCGCATCCTTCCCTCGGGCCTAGCCGGAGGAGGGGCGGGGCGGGGTGGGAGGTGAGGGAGGGAGAGGTAGTGCGAGTATGGGAAGGGGAAGGGGGGCTGTTCCTTCGCTAGCCCGAGCCCCTCCCGCGGCCCCTTTAAGAGCCGCCCTTTAAACCCCTTTAGCTCGGCGGAAAGGAATTGTCGCCCCTCCCCTCTCAGGGGCTGAGACCACGCAGCCCCCCCTTCCCCCGCCTGGCTGATCCCCTGCCCCAACACCCTCCATGCCTCTTAAGCTCGTGGGTTCGGGGAGGGGGCGCCAGAGGTTGCGGGGCCTGAGGAGCAGGGGGGATGGGAATAGAAGGCCGATGCAGCGGCCCGGGCACTGGGACCCTTCCCCTCCCGCCGTCCCTAACGAAGTGCATGCCAACGCCCCCCAGCCCATCCCCCGCGACACAGCCAGGGCTCCTGGCATAGGACCCCAGGCACCTCTCCCATCAGCACCGCCCCTTTCCCCATCCCACCCCACCAACCCCGGCCCCAGCCAGGGACTCACATCAGCTGCCGGCTCCGGTTTGCATCGCAGCTCCCCCCTCCGCCGACTCCCTCCCCAGACTGGCACAGTTGCCCCCACCCCCGGCACCGCGCTCCGCTCCTCGCCCTGTCGCTGCCGCCGGGTCTCTCCCCATCCCCCACCCCTCCCCCTGCCCCTTCCCTCCCTCCCTCTCGCCCCGCTCCTCCTCCTCCTCCTCCTCCTCCACCACCACCACTACCACCACCACCGCCACCACCACCGCCACCACCGCCGCCGCCGCCGCCGCCGCCGCCGCCGCCAGCTCTGATGCCGCCTCCTCCCCGGCTGCTCCCTGTTCTTTCAGCTGGAAAGGCGCCCCGGACCCTGCCGCTGCCACCACGTGGCATGGGGCCGCCAGCCCCCGCGGTTGCCCAGACTTGGCACAGCGCCCTGTGGTCACCCCTCCCATCCTCCTCTACCAGTTACCTGGACCACACGCTTTGCTTCCCACCCAAGAGTAGGAAGCCAGCCCAAGGATGCTTTTATACCCTCAATATTTTCCAGATGCAATTAAGGGCAAGAGGAAGTGAAGTGAGGTACAGGGGCTGGAAAGTCAGGAAACTTAGGTTTTAGGTGGGTTTTTTGGATTGTCTTTGAGAAGGGAAGTAGGGTAGGGCTAGAGAGATGTAAGATCCAAATTTCATTGCTCCTGGAACAGAGGCCCCTTTTTGCTCCTGCCCTGAAAGGTAGACTGCAGTAGGAGGGGTCAGACACAGCTAGAACTTCCTTAAAAGTTAAGTTGCCTAAATAGTAGGAATGGAGGTCTCGGGAAATTGAGTAGGCCAGCAATTGGTTTTCTGTAAAGGTCTTTATTGAGAATAGTTGGAATCCAGCCAAATCCACCATAACCCCTGTGTGTGTGTGTGTGTGTGTGTGTGTGTGTGTGTGTGTAGCTAGTCCTAATGGAGGTAAAAGGAAGGACAAGAGTTAAACTCTAGTGTAGCTAGGAATCACTGAAGACATGGAAAATGCCAGAAAACAGAAGATACATAGATGGAGAATAGGAATGTGCTCTTGGCATTGGAGGTTGGGGGGAGGGAATTGAGGAGAGGGAGAATAACTGCTAATGGAGAGGTAGTGGGAGCCCTGCCTCAATCCAGGGCTCCCTCCTCAGAGGTGAGGACTGATTTTGGAGCTGACACATACATATGGCATGGGTATATACAGTTTCCTCCTCTAAAATAAAGGGATGAATTAGACAATCTCTAAGGTCCTTCCAGCTCTGACGTCCCATGATGCTTTGAACTGAAGCCCCGGGGAGGACTGAATTGGGAGGAGTGAAAGAGGTTTCAACTCTCACTTTTTGCTTTTACTGGTGATTCCTACAACTTTCAGGAGGTAAAGCTGAGGGTCAAAAGAGCTGCTGCCCTTAATTTGTCCTCTCAGAAAACAGGACCCAGGATTGAATTTCTTCTCTCAGGAAAACCAGCAGGTGGCTTCCATTGCCTGCCCCTTTTGGCTCCTGTTCCTAAAATGAAGGTGATCTCCATTCCAGTAGGCTGTCTCCATTCTTGCTGACAGGGGCAGCTTCTTCCTCCCTCACTGTTACAGATAACAAAATGGAGGCCCTGGCACCAATGGCATTGGCCTCCCCTATGCTAGCACGCCTACTTTTAGAAACAATTTTGAAATCTTATTAGGAGGAAGAGGAAGAGTTCTCCCAACCTTTCATGTTGTCATCACCCCAGTTTAGGTTGTGAAGCAAGGATATTGCCACAAGATGGACCAACCTCTTCCAAGGCAGCTGGGAAAGCCAGCATACACTACTGGACAGAGCCACACCAACCAGACCCCTCCCCTTCCAAATGTTAAAGTCATGGGTTACCTCCAGGGCACATGCTGACCTTGTGGTCATCACCAGCCCTTGTGCTCTTGAGGGTTTCTCATGGTGACTAACCTAAGTAAAGCAGCCTTGCTCTGAGCAGCTTCCAAAGTAAGGGTTGTAAGGCAAGAGAATGAAGATGGAGACCAAAAGAGAAGAAAGGCCAAGAGTGCATGATACGACAAGAGAAGACAAATGCCCAGCAAGAGATGTCAAGAAGGAAAAGGAAAAAGAAATACAGAAAGAAAAAAAAAAGAGTGAAGAAAAAGCAGATAGCTGGGGGAAAACAAAATGTAACTAAGATAATCTAAACAGTCCAACAAAGTTCCTTCCTTGAAAACTGCCCAGAATCTGTTTTTGCTTGACTCTGCATATTCGTTACAAGGTTTTGTTTTGGGCATTTTATTTGTTTGTTTTTTCCCATGTTGGGGGGAAGTGGGAAGGAGAGAAAATAGATTTTTGTTAAGTGAGGAAAATCAAACTGAATTTTTTAAAAAAAAAAGCTGTCCAGAGAGAGATTTTTCTCCCACTGACTCTTGCTCTGGAGACAGACTTATCCTTTCCTGCCCTGCTCCTGCCTGAAAGCAGTAGGAGTAGGTGACATCAGCAGCTGGTGGAGAGATTGAATCAAAATAAAATCCAGATGACTTAAATAGAAACAGCCAAGCAGGAAAACTCATTAGACACATGTGGCAGTGTGGGGAGCAGGGTGCTACCTTAGCACTGCCTTCTGAGACCTTGAAGAAGGAGGTTTTGCAGCTGAACCATTTTGAGAATCCATGTGGAGCTGCAGGTCAGTCTCCTATGAAATCTAAGGCAGAAATGATG